ATGCGACGCCCTGAAATACTCTGTGTGGAATCCAGAGTCTTTTCGATCTCACATGGGCTTGTGCCCGAAACGGCGGTAGTGTGCTGACTGACTGACCAAGCGAGTGCATGCTGGAGTGTGACAGTATGTGTGTCTCGTTCTCTCTCTCTCTCTCTCTCTTTCTCTCTCTCGCTCTCTTATTTATACATATATACATATATGTAGAGATTCTGTATATATATATATGTATACATATATATATAAATACATACATACATATATATATATATACAGATAGATAGATAGAGATGGGTATGATATAGATATCTAGATAGGTTCACAGATATAGATGCGATCGTGCCTGTATGTATATACACATGTCTGCATACATACATACAAATAAATAAACAAATAAACTTCGAACAAATAGATTAATTAGTATATCCTGCTGAGGACCTCTGCACCCATCGTGACGCCCTGAGAGCGTCTGGAAGCACCGTGATACACACTGTGGGGTTCTAATGCTTGCGCGAGAGTCGCGCGGGTGCTCACAGATCCAGGGACGCTGCTCGTGTGGTGGTGGCGCCTGGTAAATTGCAATGCATGGGCCACTATTGTTGCCATGCGCGTGAATTACATATGGATTTTGGGAAAGCAGTTTGACCGTGTTCCGGTGTTTGCTGGTCCTTTTGGTGGTCTCTGGTTTGTCTCCTGGTTGTCTCCAGATCGTTTCTTGGTCGTCTAGCCTAATGTGGTTGTCGCGATCGCAGTGGTCGTGGTGGGCCGAATGGTCGTGGCTGTCATGGTCGTCATGGTCGTGGTTTCTCTTGTTTCGTTCTTAGCGGATCCACGCTCGGGATGGGATAGTTTAATGCTTGAACTCGGCATTTCAGTGCCCAGACTGTACTGTCAACATCTTGAGCGTGCCAGCCAACTTGTGCATCTTCTTGTCGGGGCGAAGCTCCTCTGCTGGTTGGTATTGCTGAGTTTCCTAGGGCCCTTGCGGTAACTGCCGCATTGTGCTGTCGTCCCATTCCTGCTTTGTTCACGTGCACGTAACTGTGTGACAGTTGTGGCACGAGTGGCGCACTTCAGATGCTTCTCATCGTTCGTATGCAATGCCTTGCACCAGGTCGTCGGGGAGAGGAGGAACCCGAAATGGAAAGTTTTGGTTCGTGCAGGCAAAAAAAACGCCGCCACCTCGAACCTGTTGCACCTTCAAGCCGCAGCTCGACCCCAAGTGTTCAAAGCTTTGTCGCGGAGCGGCAGGCCTCACGACACTTTCGCGTTGCTAGCGGCGGTGACATGACGAGGCCGTCTTTGAGCGCAGTACCCGCACTTGCGTTCAAGCTGTCGGCGGCACAAATACTGTATGTCCTTGTGCCATGATATACAGTATACTGTCATGCCTGTGATCTGTCTTGGCAGCCATATGATTTTAGATATTCAACATATGAGTGCCGTCAATATCTTCGTGATTCATGATTGCAGCCATAAGCTGTTTTGATCAATGTGGGCCATGAGGCAAGGCTTTTGATTGTTCTCGTCGTCAGGACCTCAAGCCCAGCAGGCAAACAAACTGGACCACTTAGACAGAGCCTTACAAATCGCGGTGTCGTAGCAACAACTAAATCCTACTTCCGACGTAGTGACATGTTGGAGTTTTGTGGGGTACGGCTGCACGGTTTCGTGGTCGTGTGTTCGAACCAATTCGCAGATTGGACTCATGTCTGCTGCACTCCTGCCCGAAGAGAAATGCAGCAAGTATCGAGAGTTATTGTGACGGGTTCGTCTTCGACACCGTTGATCCCAGCTGCCACGTGCATCGACATCACCAGCGTCAGTTCGAATCATTGTCGCACGAATCAAGCGTCGCTTTATGTTTCAGTCGTGAACCACGATCTGGCCAGCAAGAGTACCAGCATGTGTCGACGTCTGTAAATATGTATTAGTGCTACGAGATACTGGTACAAACCGAGTCGGCCCAGGTTGATGGGGACAATTCGTAGTTGGTGCAGGCCCGATTTAAGCTGCCAGTCGTGGTCATGTTTCTGTAAGCAAGCTCCGTGTGTGCCAGGCATGTGCTGTTGGGTGTAAGGCTCGGCAATGTGATCCAAAAGTGTGCCTGATGCATCCCACAAGGTGCCCATCTTGCTGGGTGGATTGGGTGGCATTTGTCAAGGCACGAAGATTGTCTGGAGTTTGTCGGCAACGGTCTGGCAGGAACCGCTGGCGAAGGGCCATGACTGGCACTGATTGCGTGATGCTGTGACGCTGTAAACCTGTGTTTGGCAAGAGGTGGGCAATAGACCAAGCAGGAGCCCAGTGAGGGCAACTTTGGAACCATCCTCAGCCAAAGTAAGGGGTAAAGGGCGAAATCTGAACCCCAAAGCCGCCTTTGAACTCAAATCATTAACAACTAGCCCGAAACTTCCCACATCGAACCCAAATTCCTACATTACTCTGCATCCGAAACTCTAAGTCCTAAGCCTTCAATCTATGTTGAATTGCTGGCCCAAACCCCGAATCCCCATTTCCAGGTAGGAAGTGCCAGCTCGGCTTCTCCCGCATGCCTGAGCCGCGCATGGGTTGTCCCGGAGGTCTGTCAGGGTGAGCCCAAAAGGGTTTAGGGTTGAGGGATGAACGGAAAGGTATAGCATCTAGGAGTTTGGAGTTTAAAGTCGGGAGTGTAACACGGCTTACGGTTTAAATTTCGGAAGAGTGTTGGGCTTTTGCAGGCTGCCTTCGGCACTTATGAGGTCCTTGGCTTGCTGGTATTGTCGATCGTAGCCAATCCACGGTAAAACTGAACGTAAATCCCTATAGCATCGTTATAACCGCGCAATACCAGGAACTCGGTTTGTTTGTTGGCATGCTTCAGTGCAAGCTTTCGGCTGCAAGATCTCGGTCGTGCTGGTACTAGCTTCGGATCCTGAACCCTGCTTTGCAGATTTCAAGAGCAGCTGGAAGGGCTTTCGATGGTGCGCAGCTGGATGGGATGTTCCTGGTACCCTTAGGGCTTGAGCTCCGGGTTGGCTCGTCGTGTCGGTGCTTGTTTCAGTGCCGACCTGGCGGCCGACTTCGAACGAGGCAAGGGTTCACGAGCTGCAGAATGCTGCAGACGCAGAGCCTGAGAATGGCTGAAGTCGCTTTAGGCCACAGCTCAGACTGCTTGAATGCTTGAAGCAGCAGCAAGTGTAGTGACTGGTTCGCAGGTCTTGTAGACCGAAACATCGTCAGAAGGATGCGACCAGCGAACAAAAATTGGCCACGATCATCAGAGGTCCAAGAACGAGCAAGGACTTCGGGCTTAGGTCCTCCTTGATACAAGCAGCTAGCATGCTGGAAATTGCATCAGGAACCCCGGCTGAAACGGATGTTGAACCGTTTGTAGACATTTTAGAGGTTACCATGCTCTGCATGCCGATGTTGTTGATAGTTAAGCTAAGTACACACCGCGAGTATCGGTTGTGCCAATCACAGGTCCTGGGTCGATGTTATTAGCATCGATGTTTATAGTACCGCCGTGGATTCTACGTCTACGGGTGAGAACTTGATTTTCCAATTAAGTTAGTTTTGGAATGATGTCTGAAGAGCCCAAACCACAGAATGACGAATGCAGAAGAGGCTTTTGAGACTAGGGCTTAAGGTTCTATAGAGTTCAGGGCAAGCCATAAACCTTCAACTCTTCAGCGCACCGGGGGCGTCGAGTTCGGACGAACTCTTAGGGCCAAAAGCATTCCACAGAACGAAGGCATGAGTTTCCTTCCTGTCTTACCGTTGATCCGCCTGGAAACTGAAACTTCGCTGAAACGCCTCTGAATCCCATGCCCCGCCTTGCCTTCCAATGAGAACGGACCTTCGCAGATCTTCGCATGCAGTTTGTCCTTCCGTGCGAGCGCTAGATAGACCCCGACCCCTGCCCAGACTCCATCAACTCGGTGACCCTGAACACAAGATCCCAAAGACTACTGAGTCTTGGGGTTTACCATTACTGTGTCCACCATTCACCATTGTCTGTCTGACTTCTACTGCCATTTCTACCATCATCGGTGGGGCTCGTTTGAAGCCTTGTCGGCTCTTGAGTGACGCTCTTCGGGCGGGGGCGGGGCCGGACGCTGGGCAGCAGGTGCGGGACTTGGGTCATGCAATCTCATACTTTATGCCAAAGCAGAGCTTGCCAGACGGAATCTACTGCCTCGGTTTCTTGGCTCTGTTCTAGCCTGCCACCAGGCGTGCAACGGTGTAACAATAGCAGGATTCTTTAGGCTGCTTTCTTGGTTTCGTAGTTCCGTGGGAAGCCAGGGCAGTAACCATGCTGAGCTCCCTGAAGCCTTCGCATGGGGTTAGGGTTGCTCCAAATTCAGGTCCACCCAATATACGCAGATTCTCGGAGCAGTTTCTTGAAGTACGACTTTAAGCCCCAACGCCCATTGAGGATCCCATGTGGGACTGAAATGCGGAAACGAAAGCCCATCACATGATCGTGGAGATTGCAAGCCTCGAAGCTAGCGTGCCTCCATCACACTTCTCGAGCCTTCGCAAGGCCGGCAAGGTTACACGAAACCCCGGTGCACACTCAAAGCCCGATGCCAGAAACCCGAAAACCCGAAGCCCTAAACCCTCTAGCCCCAAGTCCAATGATCTGAACTTCAACCCTGCAGCCCCTAACCCTCAACTTAAACGAGCTCTCCCTTCCAGGGTGCAAGCATGCCACGTAGCTCATGGAGAAAGGGGAGGAGGCCGAGAGATCTTGGTGGAGCTTCTTGCCCTCAGCTTTTTGCTCGGATGGTGCGGGGAATGGGGAGCTCAGCTGTGGGGCTTTAGGATTCATGGTCTTTAGGACTTTAAATCCGAAGGATGCATTCAGCGGAAGACCGCCGGCTATGTAGCAGATCTGCCTGTGTTCCAAGCGAGGCACAACCCACTATCAGTCACTATCCCTTACCGAAGATCGCCAGTATGTGTGCACCAGCCGCAGTCCGTCAGATTCGCCAGGTCTAATACAGTAGACTTACTTCATGCCGCCGCGTCTATGCTCAAGTGTTGCCGTGGTTGCCCCTCGAACAAAGCCTCCTTCCAAGTGCGCGCCTGGCCTCAGTATGGCAGTAGCTGCAATCTGCCATCACACGTTCTTATGATACTTGTCCAAATGCCGCAGTCACATGCTAGACTGCCCTCGCTGAGAGGTGCAGATGGAGGGCACCAGTGTTCGCCCGGCACTCAGCCTCTTACTATGCCGAACGAAAATTCGTAGAATCGCCAATGGCAACGACAGTGACGGACATTCTGAGAACAGTCGTGCTGTTACCTAGGACCTATGAGACTATAGGCCTAGTAGTGGTTCCAGCAGCACAGGGAGGAGGATCGACAATAGCAACTTAAGTCATTGTAAATGTAGTGGTGATACTCGTCAGAGAAAATCACACCGCTTTCAGCCACAGTGACAATACCTGTCAGAGCAGAAAGTCACAGTCATAGTCATGATCACAGTCACAGTCATAGTCATAGTCATAGTAGATAACTGACACGACTGCAACAGCGATCATACAGGTACTTGCATAAAAGTGCTCATGACAGCGATATGTTATAAGTACAAAGCGTTATAGTTGAAGTCAGAAGTCAAAAGTAGGCGGAGGGTAGCAAGAATAATAGGACCAATTGCAACCATCATGGTAAAGATGGAAGTGAGCATACTCATGAACATAACTGCTCTTTAACTCGAGTCTTGAACGGGACATTCCAGGCCGTGCGAAAGAGGAGCTGCGGATGCTAGCATCCGCATATGCGCTCCTTAATGGAGTGACCTGCGAGGAAGACAGCAGCTCGGCTCGTTTCAGGCTCACAGAGAGCTTTGGTGCCCGAAAGTGCTCCATGCCAGCGAGGTGGGAAATCCATCCGCCGGGCCATTCGCGATATCATGGCGACGAAGATAGCGCGGATATGGACTTGGACTGGAGTTCCGAAATCCTTGTACCGAAGCGGCTAAAGTTTGATTTAGGACTTATGCGACCGGAACTAAATCTTTAACCATAAGTCAGGCCCACGGTGAATTGATTGACATGGCGTGAGACCAAGCGCGAGAAGAGACAGAGACAAACGTATACGCAGTCATGTCGACAGGAGACACGAGGCCTTCTACGACTGGGGTCTCCTGCGACAGGAGCTACGCAGCTTCTTCTACAACAGCGACGCTGGGCAAACAGAGGTCTTCAGTTCAGGACGGCTGCAGTTGGGTTTGTATCAACTCAGGGTGGGTTGGGACAGCGCAGGAGCAGGGCTGTTAGTAATAGCGTTTTTTTTTCAGAGTTTTGGCGAAGCGAAAACGGAAGTCTTTGCAAGCAGAGCTTCCATGAGGCTTACCTAGACTGGTCCGAAGCCACGTCACTTACGCGGCGACCTCAATTGTCAACTGTGATAAGCAAGTGGCATCCATATCAGAGGGGGTGGCACGTGTGCACAAGCCAAAGGTCTCAAATCATGACGGTCTACGGGCGTGACCTTCAGCTGCAGCTACTAGTTTGTTTTTTGATCGTTCGTGCAAGGGAAGCTCCCAACTGGTTTCGGTATGCGGTGTGGGGTTCTGGCGGTCATTGTGGGGACCTTCTGACGGTGGGGGGCCAAGCCTCGGGTTAAGGCTTTGGGGTTTAGTTGCCTGGACCTGTGGGTCCCAAGTGTTGTCGGAGCCTACGCAGCTGGATCAGAAGCCGGGCGAGTCAGTCTGAGCTGTTGTTGATGATAAAAGTGGGGGGCCCCAATTACGGCCTGTATTGTGCCTGCTAACTGTTGATAGTGCGGGCGGTGGAACAAACCTCCTGTGCAAGCTGGGCGAGCCAGGATGGTCTGTCCCTTCAATCGCGACGTCCATTACGGTAAGCCTTGGTTTCGACAGACGGCCGGCCACAACTGTTTGCAAGACACATCCAGCAAATAGCCAAGGACTGGGAGGCACAGCCGCTCCGAATGCGCGAGGCGCAGGGAAGGGTATACGGCAACCTATATCCATTTATTTCCATAAAGATTTTCCTCAGTTGCTGCAATGCCTTCTGCAATGATATGTTAAGCTTCTGGTCATAGTGGATGCATGCTCCTGTGGCCTCTTGGGAGCAGAACAACCCTGCATCATGTGTCTGAAAAAGGTCTTATGTATTTTGCTGGGTTGGGAGGAGGGCAGTAGTGAGTTAACTCGCATGTCGGGCGAGGTCCACTGGGTCGTCTAACCTCGTCGTTGTCCAGGTCGTGGTGGTCATCATGTCTCAACTGGTCAAGAATCATCGACTCGACTACAAAGCCCAAGCTGAACGAAGAATCCTCCGGCCGGGAACGCCCAGCCCGAAAATGAATCTCTAAACCTATTGCTGTCATCGTTGCTTTTGTTGGTGGGTCTGCTGATGCTTTCGCGGCGGTTGTCATCGCTTGTGCAATTTGCATGATATCCTCGCCATTATCAGTTTCCATGGGCCATAAACCATGTCAGGCTCAGCCCGCGCGTGATCCGCTTCTTGATCGGGACCAGCATGAAGCTCGCGCTGAGCCTCAGTGACGCCCTCAAGACACCGTCGCGAAACCATTCCGCATGCAGGGTTAGCTAAAGTGCCGCATGACATCAGTCTTGGGGTTCTAAGCGAGCCGGAACTGTCTTTTGCATCGTCGAGCGTATGCGCGATTCTATCCACGTTAGAGGCAATGGCAGATCTGTAGCGGAATCGCATTCTCCGCTCTGCAGCAGGTCGGACCAAGACCAACAGGCATGCCAGGCACAATGCAATGTAATGTAGCACTTTTCATGTGTAATAGGGTGGAATCTTGTGCAACCCAATGCAACCCAGACAGAGTCCTTACACTTCGCATCCCACTATTTGGGGTCTATGTTCGGGTCTCGCATTCCCAAAAGCTCTGTCTACTTCTTGGTTTGTAGCAACAGTCTTACCATGTTGGTTATCATGTTGTAGGTTTACAGTAAACGACTCTGCTAGTGATGTTACTGATAGTGTTTGCAACCTTGAGTTTTTCGGTGAACGTGTGAAATGTCTGCAAGTAGTACTGGTATCCCGGCTGCTGCGCGATCCCTGGGATTATTGTGATTGCGGAAGTAATCTTTCCGTTAGTGCGAAGATCACGCTGATATCAACTACGGTTGTTTCTAGTTGTTGCTGCCGCTGCTGCCGCCGCCACCGCCCCCGCCGCTGCTGCTGCTGCTGCTGCTGCTGCTGTTGGCGTTGGCGTTGGTGTTGATACGGTTGTTGTTGTTGCTGCTGTTGTTGCTTTTTTGGTCGTTGTGGTTGTTCGTTGTTTTTGGGCAGTTGCCGTTGCATTGCCATCGTCATCGTCGTCGCCATCATCATTATCATCATCATCATCATTGTCATCTTTGTGATTGTCATCATTGTCGTCATCGTCATCGTTATCTTCGTCAGAACCTTCATCACCATCACCATCACCATCACCATCATCACCATCATCATCATCACCGTCATCATCACTGTCATCATCACCAACAACAGCATCAGCATCACCACCAGCGTCAACGATAAAACGGTTCGTCACAGTATCAGAATTCCCATCCCCATCGCCAATATCGGTTTCATCCATGATCGTCATGGGACCGCTGCTTGTTACGCTGGGGTTGTCTACTTTGGGCGAAGTCAGACACATGTCCTGGAGGGATTCGAGCAGAATGGCGCGACTGACAACCATGCACCGCTGCTGCAATGGACAGTTGCGTTCAAGGTCAGATTGCCGAAACCATTGTTTGAACGGGTATGCTGTGGTCCGAGGGACCACAATATATATGTATATACATATATGTGTATACATACATACATACATATGTATATACACATACATACATATACATGCGTATGTATATAAACATGTATGTATGAATGGTTATGTGGTATGCAGGTACATATGCGCTTTGCTTACGTACGCTACATCGCCTTTGACGTGTCATTTTGGCATGATGGCTCATGTTCAAAAGTCGCAAGAGACCTGCATACGCCCATGCAGCGAATCAAAGCCGGAGTTGGATGTTTGCATCGCTAATTTGACGCCTTCAGTTTGCGAAGCAGATAGCTTCGCGCTATAAGCTAGCTCCCGACCGTTGCATGCCAAAGCCGTCCTGACCTTGAGTCGCCCAGGATGCGCTGCCGGGTTACAACGTAGTTGCTGCAGACATATCGCGCGCCGAGGCGCCGTGTCTCCGACAAGCAGGTCTTTTTTCCTTGATGCCTACGAGTTCGAGCCAAGTATCGTTCTTTCAAGCACACGGGCCAATGATGCCGAATGATCGTACCCTTAACTTATAAGCCCTGGAATGGAGCCCACAAGCGGAACAACCCGTGGTTCTATCTGGCCCGAGCAAAGTACACCAAAAGAACGAAACCCTTCGTGGGCTGTCCGGGGAGCTTCCATTGTTACAGCTCCTAGTGCCATGAGTGGTTTTTGGACCCTGGAGTGGAAGATCCGTGAATCCCCCGAGCCTTAAACCACTACCTAACAGTCTACAGTATTCTACAGTTCTTACGAAGGTAGCTGGCGTGGGATACATGGCAAATAGTGCCGACCCCACGAAAGCTAGTTACGAACCCTGGTCGTGACATCGTTGTGGGTCAACGCTCCCGACCCGATCGACCCGGTCGCCGTCGCAGGCGCCAAAAGCATTCTTGCCAGCAGTACTGTGCTTCGGTAGGATGCACTGCCCGCGGATTTGTGTACATATAACGACGATGATCGCGTGGAAAGACGTACATGATGGTAGCATGATATCGCGCAGGCCGGGTTCAGCTCTCAACACATCCGAACTCCCCGTGCTGATATGGTGACCAGTGGATCGGTGACCGTCTGACAGGTCGATGCTTGGCAGTCGAGTGCTGCATCGACGGTCAGCGGCCCAGGTTTGGTAGCATCGAATATGCAAAGACACTACGTCTGTGTAGTATGGGCTGGTTAGTTCACTATCAACCTCTCAGAATTTGAATCTAACGCATCATTCCTGGAAAGAGTAGCTATGTAGAGTTTTTCAGGAAATGACGGCGACCATACATTGCTGGAGTGCAGTCACCTTCTGCATCTAGAGCCTGGCAGCTAGTTTGTATACACATGTCTATGAATATATGTGCACCTGTATGCGCACGTTCCCGTAGGTTCTCTGTCAAGCAACGGTGACCTGTAGCCTTTTGTCTTGTCATCATTGCCGCAGACATCACATGCGGTGATCGTTCATAAATCTCGTCATGGTAGCTCTTCGGAACCAACAACATCACGTCATCAGGGTCGTCAAAATGACCGTCACCATCAAACTGTTCATCACCACGACTGTCACGGTCCTTATCATGAACGAGTCTCTGTTTCTTCTCTGTGTTACACTTGCTGTCTACAGCCAGAGTCTGGTAGACGTGTCTGCGACTATATCCTGCAGCCTAGGAGTCCGAGTTTTCAGCATCAGCGTCAGCGTCACAGGCCAGGTGAATGGGTGCCACAAAGCTCCTTCAGGGGCTTTCTGAGGATTTTCCACCGGGCCCTCCTGCGGTTGTTTTTCCGCTTTGCATGTTGGCGAGGCGGCGGGTAATCGCCTAATGAGGGGGCGGTAAAGAATGGGCCTACAGCCAGCTATCTTGCGAACGGCGTCCGGATTTCGGCGTTAGACCAGCCTTGCTGCAGAGCCTCGTTGGACCTTTGCCTGTCGGTGGATATCGTATTTCCTCTTGCTTTGCAAGTGCGAGCTGCAGGTGTCTTTCCAAGCAGTCTCGCTTCAGTACACGCTGTCCCCACAGGCACGCCCGACAACCGCTATACATTTCGAATCCCAGCATGTGGAATGAATTCATCGTACGCCGTTGCAAGCTTGCCGAAGCTGCGAGATTCTCTGCTCTAAGCATCTGTTAAGCCCAGCTTCGGAAGCATTGACGTCCTTTTCATACTCCAGGCCCGCTGTCGAACTTTGGCTTTGGATTTCTATGCCGCCTATGCATATGTCATGTTGGAAATCCCTCGCGACAGTGCCAAACGGATTCAATAGAGTGCCAACCGTCTGTGTTTTCAGTCTTGCAAGGATGAGTAGGAGCAAGTGTGAGCAGTGAGACTGTGACGGCGATGCTGCTGATGATAATGATATTGGTGATGGTGCCGATGATGACGACGATAATGCAGGCGTTGTGAGAGGAGGACCGCCACCGAAACAAGGAACTCATCGCAACAGCATCACTTCACAACAGTACCTTCGCCCGGCAGTGTCATTACCCTGGACCCAGCATCATGTATCCCAGGATCATGAGCCCTCAGCCCGAGACCCAAACATACCCCCTTATTCCTAGCATCAGACGCGATCGATGCCTCTTGCTCTATTTTTGGGAAATGGTTTAGGTTGCAATCATGAGGTTCTCGTGGTTTAGTGTTTGCACTGACAGCCGTCGTCAACGGGTCTCCCCACTTAGCATCTTAGGCATTGACATCCCGCCCACATCGGGGTCTGAGCACATCGTGAGCTGAATGGAAGGATGATGGCTTGATACCACAGAGATGACTTACACTGAAACCCTGTCGAGCGAGTTCTTTGTCAGGCGAGAGCGAGAGAGAGATGAAGAGAGATACGAAAAGGGAAGGGGCTGGAAAGGCAGGGAGGAGGAAGGTCGAGGGGAGGTGACATGGCGGGAGAGGGATAGGGGACAGGGGGGCAGCAAGCACGATCGATAGGAGAAACGACAAGGCCAAACAGAGAATGAACAGCAGGAGCTGTGAGACCACGTACAGCAGCATATGTGGAAAGACCGTGAAGGTCAAGCTAGCACCTGCAATTATCACTATTCGCATCATTACACTCACAATGGCAATCAGGACAACAGAAACCCGTCCTAGTGGGGCCCAAACGAAGACCCAAACATCGCCAGCTGCTGAAAGTCTCAAGCCCCCTGAAAGCTCATCCAGGTTGGTGAGTCAGGTTGGTTCGTTGGTTGGTTGGTCGCTTGGGTTGTATGTTTGGTAGGTTGGTAGGTTGGGTTGTGGTCGTCGTCGTCGTCGTCGCCGTTTTCGTTGTCGTCGTCGGACTCTTGCCCAGTTTCTTGGGTAGTGCGTTGCTGATAGTATTGTGGTCTTTCCTGTTTCGCAGTTTCGAGCTGCAGATTCCTTTCTTCTCAGTCGAAAAAGTGACCTTTGGCCGCATAGAGTCTGCTGCCTCGGCCACAGGCATCGCCCAGCGCAGGGCGCAGTCGTGAAGCTACCTTCGAGGCCTGGGACCCGGCTTGGGAATCGGGCCGCAGAAAGGGCCTGAGTGGGGATCCGGTTCATGACATGGCTGGCACATACCATGTGCTGTAGGTCGTCAGGACAGCGCCATAACGGCCATAACTGTCTTGCCAGTGATTTCTGTTGCTGTCGTTGCTCTTGCTGCTGCTGCTGCTGCTGCTGTTGGTGTTGGTGTTGGTGTTGGTGTTGGTGTTGGTGTTGGTGGTGTTGGTGCTGTTGCTGCTGCTGGTGCTGGTGTTGTTGTTGTTGTTGTTGGTGGTGGTGGTGGTGGTGGTGGTGGTGGTGGTGGTGGCGGTGGTGGCGGTGGTGGTGTTGGTGCTGATGTTGGTTTTGGTGTTGGTTGTGGTGGTTGTTGGTTGTTGTGGTTGTCGTCACCGTCGTCGTTGTCGTCGTTGCTGCAGCTGTTGCTGCCGTTGCTTTTTGTTGTCGTCGCTGTTGTTGTTACTGATATATTTGTTGTTGCTGCTGCAGTTTCTGTGGCTGTTGCTCTTGCTGTTGCTGTCATTTGTCTTATTCTTCTGTGGTCGTCGTTGGTGTTGTTACTGTTGCTGTTCTTCTTCTTGTTGTGGTTGTGGTCGTTGTTGTTGTTGTTGTGGTGGTGGTGGTGGTCGTCGTTGTTGTTGCGGTCGTCGTCGTTGTCGTGTCGTCGTCGTTGTCGTTGTTTTTTTCGTTGTCGCCCTCTACTTGCCTACTTCAAATTCAGAGGCACGTGCAGCCCAGGTGTCAGAGTCGCATGGCGTGCCGTGGCAGGTGCAACTGAGAGCGGGGGGGTGGGGTTGGGGGAGTGGGTACGATGGGATGAAGCATGCTGTAGCCTGCTTCCGAGTCTGCAGCTTTGGGAGCACATAGGCGAGGACCCCTTTTCGGATTTCGGTTCGGTTCGTGAGCAGAGCCCCGGATTTTCCTGGGCAGTTTCCAGCTTTTGGTCTTTCCTGCAGCGCTTCGAGCTGCTGATTATTAATTGTCCTGAAGCTCTGCCCACACCGCCAGGCGGGGGGGGCGGTGAGGGCCTGGGCCTTGGATCTCAGTCGGCAGACTAGGGCGGCGAGAGAGTTGTTGTTGTGGTTGAGATTGCGGTTGCAGGTGTGGTTGTTACTGTCTGAGGTATTTGCTGTTGCTGTCGCTGTTGTTGCTCTTGCTGCTGCTGCGGCTGCTGCTGCTGGTGTTGGTGTTGGTGTTGGTGGTGCTGGTGCTGGTGCCGGTGCCGGTGCTGGTGCTGGTGCTGGTGCTGGTGTTGGTGTTGTTGTTGCTGCAGCAGCAGCATCAGCTGCTGCTGCTGCCTCTTTTGTCGTTGGTGGTGGTGGTGGTGGTGGTTGTGGTGGTTGTGGTGGTTGTGGTGGTTGTGGTGGCGGTGGTGGCGGTGGTGGCGGTGGTGGCGGTGGTGGCGGTGGTGGCGGTGGTGGCGGTGGTGGCGGTTGTGGCGGTGGTGGTGTTGGTGCTGATGTTGGTTTTGGTGTTGGTTGTGGTGGTTGTTGGTTGTTGGTTGTTGTGGTTGTTTTGGTTGTCGTCACCGTGGTCGTTGTCGTCGTTGCTGCAGCTGTTGCCGCCGTTACTTGTGTTGTCGTGAGTCGTAACTGTTGTTGTTACTGATGTTTTTGTTGTTGCTGCTGCTGTTTCTGTTTCTGTTGCTGTAGCTGTTGCTCTTGCCGTCTTTTTCTTATTCTACCGTGGTCATCGTTGGTGTTGTTACTGTTGCTGTTATTCTTCTTGTTGTGGTTGTGGTTGTTGTCGTTGTTGTTGTTGTTGTTGTTGTTGTTGTTGTTGTTGTTGTTGTTGTTGTTGTTGTTGTTGTTGTTGTTGTTGTTGTTGTGGTCGTCGTTGCTGTCGTGGTCGTCGTTGTTGTTGCGGTCGTCGTTGTTGTCGTGTCGTCGTTTTTGTCGTTGTTTTTTTCGTTGCCGTCCTCTACTTGCCTACTTCAAATTCAGAGGCACGCGCAGCCCAGGTGTCAGAGTCGCATGGCGTGCCGTGGCAGGTGCAACTGAGAGCGGGGGGGTGGGGGTGGGGGAGTGGGTACGGTGGGATGAAGCATGCTGTAGCCTGCTTCCGAGTCTGCAGCTTTGGGAGCACATAGACGAGGAACCCCTTCGATTTCGGTTCGGTTCTTGAGCAGAGCCCCGGATTTTCCTGGACAGTTTCCAGCTTTTGGTCTTTCCTGCAGCGCTTCGAGCTGCAGATTTTTTACTGCCCTGAAGCCCTGCCCACACCGCCAGGCGCGGGGGGCGGTGCAGAATTATCCGGCCTGGGCCTTGGATCTCAGTCGGCAGACTAGGGCGGAGAGATTGTTGTTGTTGTTGGTACAGATAAAACCAGCAGCCCGTACTTGTTGTTAATAAGAAGCAATTGGGAATGCTTCCGGCGACCGCATAGGGTGCCTGTAGAGTTTTGGGAAGTGCAAGCCATGGTTTACACAGCAACTGCCCCATGATAGAAATGCTCGGTAGGCTGGGTGGTTGTTGTAAAAGGGGGGGGGTCAAAACAACAGACGGGGCTCCAGTTTTTGCCTCTACTACAGGGGGTAGAGACAAAGGCACCAGCAAAATCAGGACTTTGTCTCTACCCCCTGTAGTAGAGGCAAAAACTGGAGCCCCGTCTGTTGTTTGGATGCCCCCCCTTTACAACAACCGCCCACATTACACCACATTTCCACCACACGTATAGGAATCTGCGATATCCAGAAGGGGTTCTGACGGGTGTTGGAAGGGCTTGTCTGGAATTTTGAGGGGTTTGCACTGGATACCCATACACTCAAGACTATAGTTACCAGTTCCTATACAGTAGTTTGTACAGGCCTCGCAAATGCATAATCTGCACAGCGGGGAACTGAAATACACACCAAATCCATTGAACATGCACACCAAAATCATTGAAATGCACACCAAATCCACTGAAATACACATTAAATCCACTGAAATACATACACATTAAATCCACTGAAATACACACCAAATCCATTGAAATACACACCAAATCCACTGAAATACATACGAAATCCATTGACATACACAAAATCCATTGAAATACACACACACGAAATCCATTGAAATACACACGAAATCCACTGAAATACAGACGAAACCCGTTGAAAACACGCACCAAACAGTATACATCACAGGCATCCACAGGCACTGTGTTGTTGTTGTTGTTGTTGTTGTTGTTGTTGTTGTTGTTGTTGTTGTTGTTGTTGTTGTTGTTGCTGTTGTTGTTAAACAACATGACGGGGCTCCTGTTTTTGTCTTTACCTAATGTACTACGGGTTGACGGGGCTGCAGTTTTTGTTTGTACCTTGTTGTTGTTGGCGGCGTTCTTGGCCGTGGCGGAGGTGGTGATGGCGGAGGTGGTGGAGGCTCCATTCAACCGCGAACATCTACCTTCATCACTGCATGAAGTAACTAAGTTGCGTTGCATCGAAGCTTTGCAGGCTTCTGCCTCGCTTCGACCCTTAGCACTACAAACCTTTGGACCCCAAATCCGCCCCTAAACCCTGAGCATAACTCCAAACTCCGAAGCCCGTAAAACTTCTCAACCCTAAAGCTGGCCAAAATCCCTGAGCGATGAACCGCAACCGAAGACTTTACAGTCCTGAACAAGTGTAATCTGGCCTGGGTGACATGACACGTAGTTCCGACCTCGAACCCCGGTCCTTGCGTCGTTTGGCTCAAGACTGTAAAGCCTCAACTCCCGAACCTTCAGCACAATCCTAAATCGTAGAATCCACCCTTGCGCTAGCCGCTTCGGTACCATTGTTATCTTGAAGTGTTGCAGACAGATTCTAGGGTCTTACAGCACCTCACAGCAGATTTTGCACTGCTCCTCCCATTTCTCTCCGCCCATCCCCACCGGCCACTTCCAAGGCTGTGGAGCCCTCGGCCGCTAGCCAGGGCAAGTCGTTTACGCAGGCGCCAAGCTCATTTTTCGTGGACATTTGTGGTTGCATGTCATGTGCAATCAAAAATTGGACTTGCCAGGGTCGTTGGTACAGACAAAAACAGCAGCCCGTACTTGTTGTTAATTAGAAGCAATTGGGATTGCTTCCGGCAACCGCCTCGGGTGCCTGTAGAGTTTTGGGAAGTGCAAGCCATGGTTTACACAGCAATTGCCCCATGATAGGAATGCGGTGTAGGCTGGGTGGTTGTTGTAAAAAGGCGGGGTCAAAACAACAGACGGGGTTCGAGTTTTTGCCTCTACTACAGTACAGGGGGTAGAGACAAAGGCACCAGCGAAATCAGGACTGTCTCTACCCCCTGTAAGAGGCAAAAACTGGAGCCCCGTCTGTTGTTTGGACGCCCCCCCTTTACAACAACCGCCCACATTACACCACATTTCCACCACACGTATAGGAATCTGCGATATCCAGAAGGGGTTTTGAGGGGTGTTGGAAGGGCTTGTCTGAAATTTTGAGGGGTTTGCACTGGATACCCGTACACTCAAAACTGTGGTTACCAGTTACTATACCGATTCACATTAAATCCACGGAAATACATTGAAATACACACCAAATCCATTGAAAATACACACCAAAATCATTGAATACGCACCAATTCCATTGAAAATACACACCGAAGTCATTGAACTACACACCAAAATCAGTGAAACACACATCAAATCCATTGAAAATAAACACCAAAATCATTGAACTACACACCAAAATCATTGAAATGCACACCAAACCCACTGAAATACACGCCAGATCCACTGAAATACACACGAAATCCACTGAAATACAGACGAAACCCATTGAAATACAGACGAAACCCATTGAACACACGCACCAAACAGTATACATCACAGGCATCCACAGGCACTGTGTTGTTGTTGGGGGGGGTAAAACAACATGACGGGGTTCCTGTTTTTGTCTCTACCTAATGTACAGACAAGAAGCAGATATGTGGGTTGACGGGGGTGCAGTTTTTGTTTGTACCTTGTTGTTGTTGGTTGTCGGCTGTCTGTTGTCGGTTGTCAGTTGCTGGCTGTTGGTTGTTATTCGTTGCTTCTTTGTTGCTTCTTGCTTCTTGCTTGTTGTATTTTGTTGTTTGTTGTGTGTCGTTTGTTGTTTTGTGTAGTTGCTGCTGGCGTCGTCGTTGTCGTTGCCAGCCGCTGCTTCAAGTTCAGAGCCCCGTGCGGCCCAGGTGTCCGAGTCAGCGTCACATGGGACGATGTCAGAAACTGCGTCGTGGCAGGCGCGGCTTAAGTGGGTAGCGGGGGATGATGCATACTAAAGCTTCTATGCAATGCATCCGCGGATATTATAGCATAGGCCTGAGAGCAGTGCCTGAGATTTTCGTGTGGGGTGTGACGCTTATGGCTTTTCGCAGTTGCGTTGCAGTTTTAGTTCTGCTGTAGAACCGGGCTGTGTCCAGCCCTGCCCACGCCGCGCCAGGCGGGGGGGGCGGGGCATCCGATGGCATGGGCCTCGGCTCTAAATTGGAGCACACGGGCTAGACGCCGCAAACGAGGGCCAAGCGAGTGTCGTGTCCGTCAACTTCTGCATGGTTTCAGAGCCGCGCCACGTGCCCAGGCACAGGGGCCAGGTGCCGATGCGGGAAATCCTGCCGAGGTGCAGCTGAGGGATTGGAAGAGGGTGGCAGGAAGTGATTTCTGTTTCCTGCAGCCAGCTTTTAAACATGGGGAATGTCGGCTCTTCTTGAGAGCGGGTGTTGAGCATGGTGTTTAGGGGACCCCCTTGTACTTTTCCTTCTTCGCAGTTTGTTCTGCTAGTGCTTGTTGTCGGTTGCTGTTGTTTCTGGCAGGTTCTGTGTTTGTTGTTCTTGGTCCTCGTTGGTTGTCGTTGGTTCTGGTTCTTGGCTTATTGTTATTGGTTGTTGGTTGTTCGTTGTATTTTGTGTGTCAGGTGTTGGTTGCTGACTTCTTTTGGGCTGTTGTTGGCTCGTCGTCGTCACTGTCGTGGTAGTCGCAATTGTTGTGGTTGTCGCTGCGGTAGGGGTTGCTTTTGCTGCTGCTGCTGCTGCTGCTGCTGCGGGGTGGTGATGGTGTTGGTGGTGGTGGTGGTGCTGCTGCTGCTGCGGGGGGGTTGTTGCTGTTGTGCTTCTTCTCCTGCTTCTTCTTCTTTTTCTTGGCGGTGGCGGTGGGTTGTGGTGGTGGTGGTGTTGATGCCCGCGGTGGCGGTGGTGGTGGTGGTGGTGGTGGTGGTGGTGGTGGTGGTGGTGGTGGTGGTGGTGGTGGGGTGGGGCATCCGATGTCATGCCTTGGTTTTGAGCTAACGGGGCAGACGACACAAACTAATGAGCACCTAGGCACCGACGCATGTCCTTTTTGTCTACTTTTGCAGGGTTTCAGAGCCGCGCTTTCAGAGCCACGCCCTTTGCCCAGGCACCGTGGCCAAGTGCCATGTGGGGCGCGCCGTGGCAGGTGCAACTGTGGGGTTGGTAGCGGGTGGCAGGGGGTGATTTTCGTGATACTCCAGCCTGCTTCCAACCGGGTAATGGCCTGTCGTAGTTTTTCACGCCATCTCGCGTTTCCTTACTTGTTTCGGGGCTGCTATCAACATTTTCGGTCTCTGGCCGGTGCTTTCCTACTTATCCACGGCCATGCTATGTCGTGATGCTTTTGCAGCGTTCTTGGTGCAACTTCCGTACAACTCGGCGATCTACAGGGGTCGTTTGGCTCTCTTCTCCGCCACCTGGCACCTTCGGCCTTGTTCTTTCTAGTTGTGGCAAAACCGACTGTTGAACGAGGTTGCTGTGAGCGGCAAAAGTGTTTTGCCAGAAGACTGTTAGCGGCGGTGGTAGTCTGTAGATGTCTGTAGGCGGCTTCGTGGCTGACATGGTTCATGTTGACATGATCCTCATTGTTGTTGTTGCTCCCATTCCTGTCTTTTTGCGAGTACGGTCGCCACCACTGCTGCTGTTAGTCCTCTTTCTGCGAGCATGGCTACTGGTGTGATTGAGACTAAATTTGCGCCTAGGGCCTCGTACTGGTCGTGGTGGCTGCTACTGGCTGCGACTATCTGCTTGATTGTGGAGATTGCTATAAACCATTTCTTTGGTTGCTTTTAACTTGATACGGTCAGCTCGTTATCCGGGCCAGGGTTATGCGTTTGGAGCGGACTTGGTACAGGTTGGTTACCGTCGATGTGTTCGTCCTTCTCATGTCCCTCTCTCTGCATTTCGTGGCCACGCATGTATCCATTAGCTTTGTCTGCATCAGTAGTCTTCTCAGAGTTGCGAGCATTTTGAGTTCTTGGCCCGCGCTGTGCATGGTAAGTGTTAGCATTCCCAGTAGTTGCAAGCGGATGTCACCCGAGCAATGCCAAGAGTGTCACTGCATGCGTTTCGTTGCTTTTTAACATTCGTAGCAGTTGAGCTGGTTGACGCTCTTAGCACAACGAACTTCTTCACGCTGTGGGCATTCTCAGCATGCTCGGTGTTGATACCATTTTGGCCTCCATATCGTGGTTGCGCGACTCGTAAGTAACAGAAGATTTCATCGCAGTTGTTCCATTGGTAGCTTTGTTTACATAGCTCCGACCTGCAGAGGCTTCACTTCAGGTGCATGCAAGACCTGTAAATGCCATTGGTGCCGAATCCAGGATCTTCTTCAATTCTGTCAATAAGTTCATCCATCACGAGTCGTTGAAAATGCAACGAGTAGCGCCAAAGACCATATTCTCTACCTTGCATTCCCAATTCACTATGGAATGTGTCTTGATGGTAAGAGCGTGTTGCACAAGTCAAGGGGAGGTGCATTCTGAGAAACAGTATTTCTCTGTACTGCTTTGCAAGATCTCGTCTCCGGAGGCGCCCCCTCCCTTCGTCGGCGTCGGCGCCACGCAGCGACGCCCTGAGAGCATAGCCACGAAAGTCAAGCCCGAGCAGTCGAAACTAGCTGAAGCCTCCGCGTTCAGAATCAACTGAAGCACTGCATTGCATCGTTTCCTTCAGCATCTAAGCCTTGGAACTCACTTGCCAGCACAAATGTTGCATGGGCGTTGAATGCTTTCGGCACGCTTCTGTTGCCTTCTGAGGCCAGTCGTTCTCCTCCAGGCAACCGAGGGCACATCTTCACGAGACCGCGTGGCTGCATGTGGCTGAATCTGCAGTAGGCAAGCACTAACAGGGCCAATCTGAAAAATTCTGCAGACGACGGTAAGACTTGCGTCGCCAGTGTGCTTTCTTTTCACGGCCACGACCTGCACCGCTGAGGGTGCAAGTAGGACCTTGTCAGTTTGCTCGGTTGATCTGCGTATGTTTGTCGTTGCAACTGCACAGACGTTCGGCACGTCAAAGACTCGAGCCGCGGTGGCTGGAAAGATTGGTTTCATGGTGTTGCGCGTAAGTGCAAGGAAGCTGTGCTGGGAGAAGACATGTAGTCATCTGTGTTCCTACCATCCTGTGCACTCAAACAGTCTTGCAAAATTTTTACAGGCAAGGAGTGAAGCTTGTGCGCAACTCATCGTTCGGAGGCGGCCCCTCCGTTCGTCGTCGGCGCCCCGCAGCGACGCCCTGAGAGCAGAGTCCAGAAAGTCAAGTAGGACCCACAAACGATCGAAGCCGACCGAAGCTTCCGCTTTGAGCATCAACCGAATTAGATGCAATCCTAACGTCGTCTTGGTATTTACTTGACAAAAGTGCCTTTTTGCGACGCCGAATTTGCGCATGCATTCCAGCACAAATGTTGCATGGGCGTTGAATGCTTTCGGCACGCTTCTGTAGCCTTCTGAGGCCAGTCGTTCTCCTCCAGGCAGCCGAGGGCACATCTTCACGAGACAGCGTGGCTGCATGTGGCTGAATCTGCAGTAGGCAAGCACTAACAGGGCCAATCTGAAAAATTCTGCAGACGACGGTAAGACTTGCGTCGTCAGTGTGCTTTCTTTTCACGGCCACGACCTGCACAGCTGAGGGTGCAAGTAGGACCTTGTTAATTTTTCTCGGTTGATCTGCGTATGTTTGTCGTTGCAACTGCACAGACGTTCGGCACGTCAAAGACTCGAGCCCCGGTGGCTGGAAAGTTTGGTTTCATAGTGTTGCGCGTAAGTGCAAGGAAGCTGTGCTGGGAGAAGACATGTAGTCATCTGTATTCCTACCATCCTGTGCACTCAAACAGTTTTACAGGCAAGGAGTGAAGCTTTGTGCGCAATTCACCGTTCGGAGGCGGCCCCTCCGTTCGTCGGCAACGCCCTCAGAAGCTGTCGCGAACATCGAAGCTTTCAGATGACAGATGCATGCGAATGTTGCAGCCCGCACCGTCAAACAAGGCTTTAACAAGTACTTTGGCATGTTCTTTACACCTAGCGGGTGAATGCTAAGGTCCGAGTCCGAGTGTCAAGAGCTCAGATCACGGAAGCATCCAGCCAGATTGTGAGTATGAGCAAGGACCGATTGTGGCTGCAGATGTCACGCATTGCATGTGCACAAGTCTTCCTTCATCATGTGCTGGGTTGCCTTGCGCAGGACATTGAGCCAGGCGAGTCAATGTTTGACGGACAGGACATGGTCATGTAAGAGGTTTAACCGGGCAGCAGCACCATTAGTAGCTGTCTGCTAGCAGCTAGCAGCTAGCAGCTAGTAGCTAGTAGCTAGTAGCACGAGTACTAGTAGTACTAGTACTAGTGGCAGCACTAGTAGTAGTGCTAGTAGTAGTATTAGTGCCAGTACCAGTACTAGTATTAGTACTAGTGCTTGTACTAGTACTAGTGCTAGTAATAGTGCTAGTACTAGTAATAGTAGTAGTGATAGTGATAGTCACTAGTATAGCAATAGTAATAGTAACAGTAATAGTAACAGTAATAGGAACAATAATAGTAATAGCAATAGTAATAGCACTAGTCAGAATAATACTGTTGATGATATAAATCCTGCATAACCTTAAGGATCCTAAAGTATGAGAACTATGGTATATTCCTTATTATGGGTAATGCAGGATTTATATCATCAACCGTAGTAGTGGCAACAGTGGGAGTGAGAGTGAGAGTGAGAGTGAGGGTGGAGTGAGAGTGAGAGTAAGCGTAAGAGTAAGAGTACGAGTAACTGTAGGAGCAAGAGTGAGTGTAAGAGTGAGAGTAAGAGTAACAGTAAGAGTACGTAATAGTAGTAGTCGTAGAAGTAGTAGAGTAGTTTTGCGATTTGTCGTAGTAATCGTAGTCGTCGTAATCGTCGTCGTAGTCGCAGTGATAGTCGCAGCAGCAGCAGCAGCAGCAGCAGCAACAACAGGAGGAGGCGGATGAGCAGGAGGAGGACAAGTAGTAGCAATAGGAGTGGAATGTAGGAGCTGGAGCAGCAGCGGTAGTAGCAGCAGTAGTAGTAGTAGTAGTAGCAGTAGTAGTAGTAGTAGTAGGAGTAGTAGTAGTAGTAGTAGTAGTAGCCGCCACGGCTCAGACGTTTTGGAAGTTTCGCGCTGGCTTTCGAACAGGCTCTGGATTCCAACCTTGCGTTGCTAGAGGTCTCAAACAGGCCCCTCTCTGAACGACTAAGGGTTGGTTCCTCACGCTGAGCCATGTGCCATGTGCCAACAGTTTGCGTCTGAGCCGCCAGGTCCCAATTCCTGGACCCAGTACCCTGTCTTAACACGGGCCCACTGGGCAGGCGGTAGGGTTTCCACTAACCGCGTGGTGGAGGGAGTCACTCGGCTTGCCTTGTGACGAAATAGCGGATGGCGCTGCTCCCAGTGCACTCACAAAATTATTCTCAGATCAGGAAGAATTCGTTCAAGCATGTTTGCAGAAAGGTGGTTGCAAGCCAGCAACCCGTTTCCTACCGAGGTCAGGTCATGACCCCTGCTCTTCTCAGGCGCATGGGCAACTGCCCACCGCGGCCAGGTTCCACTCAGTCTTTCGCACCACGGTCTAGAGCAGGACAGGCCACCAGGCCCCTCCGCGTACTGTCTTGGAATGCAGGCCACCTTGGCCAGCAGCAATGGTCAGAAGTCAAATCATGGCTTTCCACTGAGGCACGTCACACCTGTGATGTTCTTGTGCTGCAGGAGACCCACTGGCAGGCTACGGCTGAATTTAGTGTTGCAGGCTGGTACTGCATCTCGTCTGCCTCTGCTGCAGATCCGAAAGCCTCTAGACGCAAACAACGCGGGGGCAAGGCCCACATACAGCCACCTGCAGAGGCAATGCCTAATGACGACAAGACCCATCCGCCCCGCAAGGAACCCTCGACAACCCGCGCGGACGGAGTAATGGTCTTTCTGTCCCCACACATACAACCTAAAGGTGTGAGATGGCAGGAACATGTCATAGGCAGAACCCTGGAAGTCAGGTTTGACTGGCACGGGGCCCGCATCCACCTGATTGCTGTATACCAACATGTTTGGTCACCGGCCAAACAGGTGCAGAACAATCGTCAGGACAGGGCACAGGTCCTAAAAGCTCTTGGCAGATGTGTGCAAAGGGTGCCACACCGGGACACGCTTATCATCGCAGGCGATTTCAATAGCTCCTTGCAAAAGCAGCCTAGGCTTGTAGGTCCAGAGCTCATAAGCCCACAGGAACCGCGACCTGACGAACCAGAGCTCACCAACTTCCTGTTGAGTCATCGCTTGGTGGCCCTCAACACGTGGCGACCTCAGCCATTATTTACGTACCAGCAGGGGGATACATGCACACAAATTGATTTTGTGCTTACGCGAGAGGCGTCAGCCGGAGGCACTGCCAAGGCCTCCACGCCACTGGCGGCTTTTCCGCTGGGCGGCTGGAAGAAAAGCGGGCATCTGCCCATCAGTGCGACTGTCAAGCCAATACGTCACTGGAATCTGCCGCCTCCTCAGATACAGACACATCAGTTTGACGCTACTGCCCTGCAAGCGGCTGTGAGGGACAACACGCTGCCGGCTCAGCAAATGCTTGAGTGGGTCACAACCCGTCTCACTCCGGACATGCAGCCGGCGTCATGGGATCGCCTTCTTGGCGAAGCCTCCTCCAGGTTTTTCCCTAAGACCCCGGTGGCAATGCCAGAAAGTCCGGAGACGCGCATTGCTAGAAGAATGTGGCGCTCTGCACGAGGGAGCAATGCTCACACCAGTGCTGAATCAGCTACAGACGCAGCTGCCCGTCAACTGCTACACGACCAGCACAAACTGGCGGTCAAGCAGTCTCGCAAAGACCAAACCAAGCGGTTCCTTGCCGAGGTGGACCAGGCTCTCAACCAGGGAGACCAACACCTAGCATACCAAACTCTCAAGCATCTTCGCCCGTGGAAACCAGCTCTGAAGGCTCAGCTCAAGGATTCGAACGGTTTCTTGCTCAGCCCCGAAAACGAACTTGCAGAGTTGGGCAAGTACGCCACCAAGGTCTTTGCAGCGCACCCACCGCTTCCTTCTGACGCGGGACTTCTGCCCCTACTGCCGCAGACCAAGTTGGCGAAACACATTGCTTCGATAAAACCTGGAAAGGCAGTTCCGAAAGGAGCAGCACCGGCCGCAGCCTGGAAGCTCTGCGCACAGCCGGTATCCGAAGCGCTCTCACATTACTGTTCTGCTCTGACACAGGACCAGCCACTAGACGATGATCTGACACGAGCGGATCTCTGCTTAATCCCTAAACCGGGCAAGCCGGCTGACAAGCCTTCCCAGCTAAGACCGCTGGGAATACTCCGGCCGGATGCTAAAGGCCTGGCGGGAACGGCTAAGGAGCTCCTGGAACCTCTCACGCTGCCATACATGAAGCCTCTCCCTCAGTTTGCATACCTACCAGGGCGGGGTCTCTCTGACGCTCAGAGTCGCGTGGTACAGCACCTGAGAGAGGCTCGGCAACTATGTCGCAATGCGAACCTCACCAGAGCGGATCAGCAGCGGGGACAATGTCCTGTTGGTCTAGTCGGCGGCATCACCTTTGCACTAGACCTGTCACAGGCATTCGACACTGTATCCCGCAGCGAAATCTTGTCTCTGCTTGATGAACTAGGCGCAGATCCCTCCCTACAAAAACTGATACACGGCCTGCATCATCGATCCAAGTACAGGCTCCATTCACAAGGGGCGCACCAGGATGTGGAAACCACCACAGGCATCAAACAAGGCTGCAAGCTGGCCCCTACGTTGTTTTCCGTTCTAACAGGCCGTCTTCTGCACAGGCTGATAGGCACATTTGGCTGGGACAATGTCCGCAGATACTTCACTGGGTACGCCGATGACTTTACCATGCATCGCACAATTCGTAACAAAGCGGACGTGGACGCAGCTCACAAAATGATCCTACAGCTTTTGTCGGAGGTAGAGAAACTAGGCCTGCGCGTCAATCCAACCAAATGTGCTATTCTAGTCAAACTCAGTGGCAGAGAGGCCGAGGCCACGCTCCAGAAGCACACCTGTTGGCTTCCCGACCAAGACGGAAAACTCCAGCGTCACTGGCGACTGGGCAGACACAAGTCCTTCCCCGCCTACAAACTTGAAACACAAATCAAGTACCTGGGCATTCAAATCTCCTATGGGAACTTCGAAATGCAAACGCTGCGCTTCCGTATAGCGGAAGCTGCCAAAAAGCTCCAGCAGGTCAAGCGATTTGTTTACAACCGCAGAACTGCAGGGCCAATGGCCAGGTTGAAGGTTTGGTTCACCACCGTATGGGCCACTCTGGTCACAGGACTTCCTGAAGTCGGCCTCACGGAGGAAACAGCCAGGCATCTCCGAGGTTGGTATGCACACAAGCTACGCTCCGTGCTTAACCAGCCTGTCCATGTCAGCCGCATCTCCACAGCTGACCTATATCAGCTGCATTCGTTTCAGGACCCGGTGGCAAAAATCCGAGCTCGGATGGCTTCGCGACTAAAAAGACTGAGCAAACGACCCGACATCCCTACCCCCGAGGCTGACACTTCCGTCCAGCGGATGACTACTTCCAGTGCACCTACGGTGCAGCTGGGCCCGTGGGCCAGACTGCGTCCTGACGCGCCGGCCTCGGTCACAGGCTCGAACCCTACCGACATGGCTGCGTACGGTGATGTCACGTGTCTGGGCCATGTCCTACAGGACCTACAGGACATACTACGCGAGGTGGACAATCTTCCGGCGAGCACCGAGGCCTCGCAGCAGCGGTTGCACGACTGTCCTCACTGTGCGTCTGGCTTCGTCTCTGCGCATGGTCTACATATGCACATCACAAGGATGCATCGTGATCAAGTAAAGAGGTACATTCCTCCTACCTTTGATCGTAGTCGTCACTCCAGGGACGGTCTACCAGTATGTTCCGCATGCGACAAGGCCTTCCATCAATGGAAGGGCCTACGCGACCACTTGTTGTCGGGAGCCTGTACGCAACCGGAACGCCTACGCCAGCTATCTCTCACCACCGAGGAACAGCTGCAAGGCCAAGCTCTCAGAGGCTTAGCCGCCCTTCGGGCTACGGTGCAGAGTTCGCCAAAAGACAAGCTCAGCAGCATAGCCTCCCGACCGGAAGCTCAAGAACTCAAGCACAGGTGCATCTTGTGCGGATTCTGGACCCCCGACCATACCAAGATGAAAAATCATCAACGACAGGCTCATGCACAGGTCTGGCAGCGAGATGGTCCGGCGGCACTCAAGCTTTGCCAGGCCTACACAGTGCAGATGATCAAAGGACACCCATGTCCCTTTTGCAAACTGCAGGTCTACGACAAACGCAAGCACCCAGAACAGTGCATAGTTCTGTTCCAGGTCCTGCTCGGATGGCACAAGGTCCAGGGTAAGGACAAAACGCGGGAACAATGTTCCAAGCCTCAACCAAAGACCGTGGTGACAATGTCCCTCAGTGGCTTCTTCGGGACGGCGGACCGATCTGCTACTCCCGCTGCCTCCGCCACGGTCCCCACGGCGACGGCGAGCAGCCGAGGGACATCTCCCACCAGGCCTGTACTCACGCATGCGGCGCATGATGAACTCAGGCAATACCTGCTATGTCAATGCGACCATACAAGCCCTTCTAGCCGCGCTTGACTCTGCGTCCAACATAGCAGAACTGGGACCACTGGTCGAACATTGCATTAGCCCAGAGGCGGATCCAATGGACACTAGGCTTATCAACCCCCCAAGCCTTTTTGCCCTCCGGTCGTTAGTGCCTAGATGGCGCTTTGATGGCAGACAACACGACACCTCTGAATTTGTCACGAGTCTGCTAGAACATCACACCGGAACCCTACAACCCGTGCGTTGGGAGGGACGCACTAATGGACTGCCAGAAAGCGAAGACGATGGCCTTACGCCGCTGCTGCTACCTCTTTCCTCGGACTGTCGTTCACTGCAGCAGGCCTGCATGGCATGGTACAACCACATGTTCCAACGCGCCCTGGCATGGGCCCCAGACATCCTTCCCGTCACAGTTGCTCGATGGATGGACGGCACCAAACGACGCACCCCGATAGACCTGCGCAGGCAAGTCTCACTGCCGACTTGGACAGAGGGTCAGGACCGCCAGTGGCACCACTTTTCAGTCATTTCGGGGGTTTTTCATGTAGGAGCGGAAATCCACTCCGGCCATTACCGGTCTTTCTGGATCCATCCGCATGGAGGTGCGCTATACGTTGGTGATGATGCCACCAGCCCACACCTTGCCTCGACCTCAGAACGCAAACATGTTTTGGAAGATTGTTACCTCCTTTTCTTGAGAAGACAGGAGTGACTCTGACTCACCCTCAAGGGGTGAGTGCTGGCCCTCCCAGTCTAGGAATGCGTGCACCACTAGGGTGCCTGTGCGTGGGAAGGCCGGACCCCACAATAGGTGGGCATGGCCCCCCCCACGTCAAGGCCAAGCATGCTTTAGGCATGCGCAGGCTTACCCGCAGCTTTTTCAGGCTGACCCAGCATGGCTGACAAGATCCACAGCCCAGACCACAAACGTGGTCGCACCACATCTCCCCTAGCTTCAGATTCATTGATGGGCGAACCGTCAGAGTCTTTTGGTGTCGATGCTCGACGCCAAGCGACCGGCAGCGGCAAGCAGCGGCCAGGCAGGGCCCTGCACGCCCTCTCCAACGCCGAGCTCACTCAAGGCTTCCTACTACATGAAGAACAGCTTGCCCTACTACAACTCCAGGCCTCGCTGGTGTACAAGTTACCCACGGACGCCCCCCTGGCACAGGCCCTAGCGAAGGCCGTGACCGCGTGGCAGAAAGGCCACACGCCAGGGAAAGCGCACCCACTGGGTTCATGTGCACACTTCACAGCGGGAGCAATGCTCGTCCAGCTGGCCCAGTCTCAACAAAAGCCACCAGGCATTGACACTGCACAGTTCAAGGCCTTCATCAAGCTGATCGAGGACTTCGGCGAATCGCCGCATGAGGCTGTGATCCATCTGGTCGCGCACTGCTCGGCTCGACAGAACGCTCTCAAGACGCATCTTATCTTGGACTTCCGACCGGTTCTCCACTCCCCGCTTGCGCAGTACACCTCGCTGATTGCGGCCCTCCTGGACTCCTATGAAGGAGAGCGCCTCGGAAAAAAGGCCCCTGGTGGCCTGGCTCGTAAGGCGAGGGGCAAAGCTGGCTGAAGGAGAGGTGCCAATGGCAGCAGCTGGACACGGCCTAGCTCAATTAGAACAATCTCTATCTTTCGCAGGAGCAATGCTCGAATTTGCCTTGTTCCTGGAGTGCACTGTCAGCCATAAGCTGTATCACTCCTGCGCACAATGACCAGCAACCAGGCAACCACGCCTGTGGAAAAAGCACTGACCTTGCGCCGAGTTCACAACATTGCAGCGATCTGCCATTGTTCGGCATGTGCTAGGCAGTGTCTAATTTAGTGCCACGCAGCCTTTCCAATTGCCAGATCGCATTCTGAGTCCCTTCCAGCCTCGTTGCCGCCCAACATGCCAGGGCTGCAGAGTCACATTGATCTCGACTACTACGTTGCCCATTGGGATAAAATCCGCGAGCTCGGCCTGGACAAACCTACCACAACGGAGACCTCGGCAACCTCAGGCGACAAGGAACGGGCCGTGCAGACTAAAGAGCCAACTGCTACATCATTGCCGTCGGGCCGTCAACGCCCACCTACGCCACCTCGCTCACCGAAGAAGCGCCAGAACATGGTGAATAAGATCCACAAATAGCGACAATGCCATTCTGAGACTCGGGTGCGCACAATGAGCGGCCCTAACCCTGAAGGTGGTCAATGACCTCCTGCACCACGCTGCTAGGATGGAAAAAGTTTCGCAACTTATAGGATCGCTCATAAATAATGCAAGCTGAGGGCAGTCAGATCCTTCATACTGTGCTTGGGTCCATGCGACTAAACACAGCAGGATCAAGTCAAAGGCCCGGCACTCTGCCGCTCCATTCCGCTTCGCACATGGCGGCTCCTTCTGACACTACGGCACTGGACAGCCTTCACATCCGTTTGGGTCTAGACCAGGACCCCCATCGCATGGCAACGGCTATTGTGGCAGCAATGACGGACCACGCACAAACCGTGCAACGAGTCCCTACCCCCTGCACCTTAGCGGGACCCACGTCGGCTGCCTGCATCAGCCTCCTGAAGGGCACGGTCGGCAAGACAGTGGGAAGAGGCCACACGAGCACAGTCCACCTGTCTCATGAGGACCCCAACTTTGTCATCAAACAGGTCAAGGTGGAGCACGAGGCAGACTTTCGGAAAGAATTGCATCGTGTTACACGACTTCCGCCTCTCTCCGTGATCAACACCATCTACGCGGCAGACGGCCCGAGGGCACTCATGCCGCGCCTTTGGTCAGCTCCCCGTCCTCTCACCGGGGACACAGTCCAGCGACTCAAATTTGACATCGCGGCTGCACTGCAGATGCTGCATTCAGCCCAAATCGTTCATGGGGACGTGCACGCGGACAACATCATGGTCCGGCACCAACCGGCCAGTTTCGTACTGAATGACTATGGCGGCTGCTCGGGCGAGGCCATCTACCCCTTGAGTAATGGCTACGGCGCCAAGGGCTATGGAGGCGATCTACATCGTCCACCAACCCTAGAAGATCCACCCGCCCCGGTCCGGACGGCGCATGGGGATTTCTACAGGCTGAGCCAAACGATCCTCAAACAGTTCCTGTCGGATGAGGAGCCTACCAAACGACGCAAGGGCAGTGGCGTCAATGACGGAGTCAGCAGAGGAATTCCTAGCCACATGAAGCGAGAATTGCAACTGTGGCTGGAGCGGGACCAATGGCCACAGCCCATCTATCCCAACTCCCCCTTCCCTGCTGGCTCCTGGACGGACTCTGCCTTCAACCCCGCTGTCACTGTGCATGCTGGCCTGTGGAGAGCCAACGGGGAGCTCCGGACAGATACCGCCACCTTTGCCAGATCAGACGACAAGTTTGGCAACAACAACGGCTCACTGGTTCCGGAAAAGTCCGATCCGTCAGATCTCACACCTGGCCTTGGCTCCTGGGAAAAGTCTGCTGTTTGGGCCAAGTTCTACCTTTCTACGGAATTGAGGACATGTGGCCGCCATCTCCGGTATGTATACCAAGAGATCTTTCCCTGGGAATCCTACTCCAACCAGGACGGCTACTTGGTGCTGGACAAGCCCCCTCCTCCGCCTCCGACCAAGCCAATCGAGCCGAAGGAAGAGGCGGTGTCACTGACAATCCCAAAGCGGGGGCAAGGCCCACTCTGCTCTGATGCAGGCATCGCCTCCATCTCCCACCTCTCCTGCGAACCGTCCCGCCATGGAAGCTGTCGCAGCGGGAGCCCCCACGTGCTGCTACCGAGCTGCCAGGCATCTGGGGAGAACCTCCCGCCCGCCCTGCGGAGGACCAAAACCCCTCGCAGACAATTTCTGCCCAACGCCAGCCCCCGCCCCAGCCCATGCCGGCTACCTTTGACCCACCGGAATCAGCGCCTCCTTTTAACATAGTCATGAAGGAAGCTCAGGTCTACGACCCGAATGCCAGATTCCGAGCGATGGCAGCCTCAGGAGGCAGCGATGTCCCTTTCGACACCAAGGGCCACATGCTCCAGTCTGGCGATGCTTTTGTGGCTCGAGATCTCGCAAGGACTCCCAAACCAGGATCTCGCAAAAACACCATAGAGGATTGGTCTCGAAGCCTTCACACTGCCGCGGACTTGCTGCGTGGAGTCGCGGGGGATATGCAGGCCTACCCAGATCGCTTCCTGGAAGAGTGCCCCTTCCCGAGACCCCCACCGCCCTAACGCAGCTGGGACAATGTCCGCACATGTCATCCTGATGGCGACAATGTCGTGCTAGAGCTGTATCGGCCGGTACTCCACTCTTTTCTCCTTTCTCCACGAGCCTGTCGGCTCACACGCCGCTGTACATCATCACGGCCATTTTCTTTTTTCAGACGACGCTGCTGCACATGTTGCAGTTCGGATTGAAACAGAGCGACGGTTTGAGTGTGATGCTTTCGCCAATGCAGAATCAGCTTGGATCTGCCACCGGATCCTAGGCTGTCATTTCTCATACCATCATTCCTGTTCACACTTGTCGGCTTTCAGACCCAGATAGATGGTCTGGACGCTCAGTCCAACCAGCTGCCCCTAGCGATGTGGAGGCTCCGAAGCAGCTCGGGATGTATCCCCATGGACCTGGACGACTCTGACGAGGAGGTCCCTGAACCGGCACGCAAATGCCGTCGCCCGACACTCACGATGCCAACGACTCAAAGCATCCTTCGGTCTACCTCTCCGACGACTGACGAGGACGCGGCACAAGAGGAGGAACGACAGGGCTCCGTCTGTTCAGCCCTGAGCCTATACGCTCCACAGGCGCAGGCACCAGGCATATGCCTACATCTCCCTCCTGACATGGATGAATTGGAGCACAAATTCACCCTATGTGCAGTCGAACAGGCCGCGGCGGACTACCTACATCGCAGGTGGGTCACCTTCGAGCAACTGGATGCCCTGCTGGACACTATGCCTACCACCTCTGCCTGTCGCAATGCATCGGTGGCACTGCCACAGTCTGCAGACCAGCGGATTGTCACTTTCGGCGCATACCAGCAGGGGCCAATGGCCGGTCTGAGGACACCCACGCATCGGTTTCCGATGGCGACGTGTCTCCTCAACACGGTTGTGCACACCATGGCCGGACGCCATCCACGCACGACTCTATTCCTGGCACGAAATATGGCCTCTGGCTTGCATACCGACAACAATCAACAAGGGGTGAACAACATCCTGATCCCTCTCTCCAACTTCGAGGGCGGCCATCTCTTCGTGGAGGACAGCGCCGGGGATTACCTGTTGGACTCCGACGGACCCAGAGGACAAGTTCTCCCCGTGACCTTGCCCTACCTTAGTTTTGATGCCTCACGCCGACACCTAGTACTGCCATGGACGGGACGCAGACTCATACTCGGTACTTACCACATCCGAGATGCGGACAAGCTCTCAGCGCATTCCGCTCTGTACCTGAAGTACTCAGGCTTCGAGGTACGTCGCACAGCTACAAGCTCCTCTAGCTTTCAACGGCAGCACAGCTGATGTATAGCAATGCGCTGGCATGGGGGCAATGCCCAGCAGGCCTTCAGCTCAAGCTACGGAGGCTGCTGCACGCCCTCTCTGAGCCGGACTGAAGCACGTCCAATAGCTCAATAAATTTTGACCAACAGCCTCAGCTGCCGACACCCCCCTGGCGGCTCGGAGACCTGAAAAGACAGCAGACACACACAGCTCTTTTCTGCCAGCGCGAGACACATGGATCGATCATGTCTACTGCTACTGACGCTGGCATATCGCTCTAAGGTCCGACGATGCCCTCAGGCGGCCCCTGCTGACGCCGACCTTCTGGCATGGCCAGACCAGTGCCCCTGCCCACTCGCACAAGCCAAGCTCACTCTGCAGCGCTGCCTCAGCGTGAATGCACTTGCAGCTTTCCTGCTGCGCCGCCGGGCTCAAGATCACTGAAGGCCTCAAGCATAACAACATACACAGCGGAAGGCTCAGGGCTCAGAATTTTGAATATTACAGCATGCTCTGCCCTAGGCTACAGCTCTGACATTCCTGCGCAGTTCCTAGCCACTTCACTTTCCCTTAGACTGGTAAGGGCGCGGTGCTCAAAGAGCACAGGCAACTGGGCATGGCAGCCACACCGACCACGCCGAAGCCCTTCTTGGTGCTCAGTGACAGCACCTTGCAACACTTGCTCTGGCAAGGGGCCAATGGCCAATCCTACGGAATCATTGACATGGTTCGGGGTGCAATGCACGGCTACGTTATCTCCTGCCCGGGTACCACTCTCACAGCAGAGTACGCGGGTGCGCAGCCACCCAACCCAGCGGTGTTGGAGGTACTGGCCTGGCAATTCATCCGCGTCCTTGGAGAAACGCGACCTTTCCCGGCGGAAAGCCCTGCATTGATCAATTTTCTCCGGGATCACTACTATGACGAGGTTAGCGTGCGCCTGATCCCCATCAGACAAAGCTTATTACCCCATAAGCAGAAGGGCTACGACTGGATCGCAGAGCTCAGGGATCAGTATGGCCTGGGACGGTACGAACTCAGCGATGAGACCATCATGAGCCTCCAAGGCCCTCCTCCCCTGGTTGATCAAATATACAACCAAAATAACTGTCACTTTCGACCGACGGTGGCGGATCACGTCATTGGCTTGCTGGTATCCCGCTCAATTCAAACGATGCGGCGACTGAAGCCAAATGCGATCCATGTTCTGGTTGTGTGCTCATGGAACTGCCAGGGGGACAATGTCCACAAGGAGATGAACGCCACATTCGACCTGTGCTGCTCGGAGACACTGTCTGAGGTGGGTGCGGTGGCTGCTCGACACACGGGCAAGGCATGGGCCCTCAGACCCTTCCTGGAACCCTACGTCAGTCGCCGGCCAATGCCCCGCACTCTTTTTCAGACATACATGCACGATGACCACCCGGGTCCCAAAAGCATGTGCCGGGAATTCCTGGCTGACTTCGAGCGCTCCTTCTGCAATGACGAGATCTTGCTCGAGACCCTTCAGGTGCATGCTGGAGACAGCGGAGAACACTTGATCAAAAGTTTGAGGCAGCCTGCTCACAAGGCTGATGTCTTCAGGTACGTCTACCACTACTACCATGGTGGCCTGTACCTGGATATCAAGATGGCGCTGCGAATGCCCTTCGATCAAATTTTAGGGCTCATCGCTTCAGAATGGGACAATGTCCAAGTTCGCAAGAGCAAAGAGCTGGGGCACTGCCCAAATGGAGTAGAAGGGGTTCTGCCCAAGGAGTACATGATCATGGGCATTGGGGTCAAAAATGACCACATTTTCCAGGGCATCATCTATGGACAACCGCGCCATCCCCTCATGCTCTGCGCTATCAATCACGCTTTCAGCAGGCAAATTCTTGCCTCGGTTGCCAACCTGGACTACATGATCTTCTGCAAGGAACTTTGGAAGCTCCTCACGCACGACATGGGCCACACCCCAGTGACAGGATGGAACCAGACCCGACAGTTCGGACCGGTGTATTTGCTCCGCGAGCGACATTCAGCTCAGCTCACCAAGTCCAAAGAGCTTGAGACTGACGGTCACTACTTTGAGACCCGCGGTCAGGTTCGGGTAGCATTCACCCGCTGCTGGAGCTGGCGAAAAGGCTTCAAGGGCGACCCCAGGGCAGCTCAAAGAAATGAAAACTCTCTCATGCAGAGCGTGCCCCAAATCGTCTCGGAGGTCATTGAAGCCGGTGGCGCTGCCTCTGCAGCACCCCATTCAGCACAAGCGGGAGCAATGCTCACCAATGCAGGCGTCAGAGTTGTCGGCGAGACCGTGCTCAGCAGCCTCGAACGGGGTGATTTTGACGCGATCATGGCGGCGGTCGAGAAGGAGCCGCAGTACCACGGCATTTCGGCCGAGGCTGTCCTCCGCAACATCCCCCGAGGCCTCTGCCTTCACCCTGAAGATCCTGACTGGCTTTCCTGCCGCTACTGCGAGCGCGGCGGTCGGCGCTTGAAGTTCCCAAATGAGTTGGGAGTCACACACCACTTCATGCAATCCCGGCACGACCGATCAGTGCCCGAGCCACCAAGCCCCCCGCCTCGCAACAGCATGTGGTCGCAGCGCCCGGCCGAGCCTGCAAACCCTCCCTCAGCTGCAGCCATCGCAGCGTCAGGCCAGGCTCCACCACCACCAGAACCCACGGCGGACCGTCCGCCCCAGTGGAGACCCACAGCGTCGGTGTCTAAGGCACGCTTTGGGCTCGGCCTCCCTCCCATTCCGCCAGGTCCTACCCCACATGCGCAGGGCCACCGGCCTCTTGCAGTGAAACAAGAACAGGGGGTCAATGACCAACCGGCGGACATCAAGGATGAGAAACATGCCACTGCTGATCCCACGTTGGGATGGGCGGAAGACACTGTGGGCACGCCAGATACTCCGATGCTGCCGGCGAGCTCACCGCCGTCACACAGGTCTGCTGGCTCTGGCCAGACAAGTGATCGGCCTTTCAACGCATTCTCAGCCCAGAATGTGACTCCGACAGCTGCCCCCACCGAGGAGACCGTCCCGCAGACCCCAGGCCCGGCTGACACCACACCATCCTCCCCTGTGGATGCCCCCTCTACGCGTGCAGAGGTCAAATACCAGGGACCGGTCACTACGACCAAGCTGGTGGAGTACAGTGTCAACCCCTCTCCAGCGCAAGAGGCAAATCAACTGCCAAAGCGAGATCAGATTATCCACATCTGCCAGTCTGACCAGATGCTGGAGTGGGTCCATGCCTTTGCGACCATTTCCATTATGAAGGAGCAGGCTATAGTGGGTGGCCTCACGGCCTCTGAGCAGGTCTACCTCTGGACCAATAGGTTTCGGGCACTGGGCAAGGTGCCATGGATCTTCGCCCCGATCAAGAAGGTCGCCACTGACAAGGATGCCAACTGGCTTGACATCACGCAGGCGCGGCTTATGGTCGGGGCCAATGGCCAATTCACATTCTCCATTGGCCAAGATGATCGCTACACCGAGCTCAAGTCCACCACGACCTACTATGGCATAGTGCACGCCCTTTTTCAGAAAATGTGGGATCATCCGGACATGAGCGCATTGCTCGAAACGGATGACAACTTCGAGATCGTGGCCTCCACCTTCAAGTGCATCTATGACCAGTCCTCCAGGAAGAGTGGTGGCCAAAATCGCGCCATCTTCTACCAGCCTCGGGATGGACAAGTTGTCCGCAAGCTCCGTATCGAACACAACA